AAACACATAACTTTACGGTGTAGTTGACTTGCGAAGTAAATGTTTAAAATTAGAGCATAGTGATCCTCATAAGATATCTATCTTATCTGAAGAATTTGCTTGCTATCAATTTAAAGATGTCGTATGTGCTGGCGTAGATTTATTTTATTTTTAATTCCATTTCAGGACATTATTATTAACAATGGCTGTTATTGTAGCGATTGGTAACTGAAGTTATAACTACACAATCTATAAGGATTGACCAAAACCAGAACAAGGAAATTGATAGAGATGAAAAGATAACCAAATCCAAAGTCTTCAAAGAGGGTACGGGATAACAAATCCAGCAGAAAATAGGCCAACTGATGGTACCAATTCATAAGGATATACAATCTTGTCTAGTAGTTGAATACCTAAATCAAAAAGTCCCCAACAACAAGCATGGAAACTCTACCATTCATCAGGGTTTGCGGTTTCCATCCTTGCGGCGTTTAGCGGATTGTGTGTCCATATGAATGTACATTGGAAGAAGGATAATTTTTTTTGATCTCGTCCAGCAAAACCTCCTCTGTGATGTTGTCATTTATGCTTTTTATCACTCTAAGAGCGGTTCTGGTGTCGTTTGGCGTATTTTTATCAAGTTTGATCCGCATGGCAATCCATACTTTCTTATCCTTATCCCATGAACATTCGACGATCTTCCCGCAGTAACTGGCCGGGGGGCAATCTCCTCTAAACTCAAGGGAATAGCTTTCCATAAGCTTCTTCTTCCCACGTTCATGTAAGAAGAGCATTCCTCGGCCATCATTCTCATCATCCATCTCAAACAGAAAATCAACCGAATTATTTTCCGGATACTTCCACTTGAGTAGATGATTATTGGTTCGGGAAACATAAGGATCGTCCCACCCTTGAAAAATGATGCCGTCAGATTCGTGCGAAAGCGAGGGAAATTTTTGATATTTGGCTAGTAAATTTTTCAAAATATTGGTTTTTACCTCTTGAGTAAACATAACCGGCTCATTCAAATCATAAATCTTTTTTCACCTAAAATCACCTAAAGACTATAAGCCGGAGAAAACATGCTCGAGATG